CCCTATGGCTTCCATCCAACATTGTGCAAGCCTATTACTCGATGGTGCCAGGTTACATTCACCAAGATGGACTTTATCTCATTCCGCAGCGTCAAGTGCTTCCTGATCTTTATCTGTATATTGGGGAAAGACATTATGAAGTTAAAATCCCGGGTGCGTTCTTTAAGCCTCAAGGATTGATTGATGATAAGTATTGTAAGTTTAGATTGGTTTTTTAACTTTGACTTACAAGGAAGTAACTAACGTTCTATTTAGATCCGGGAAGACTCGAAGAAAGTTCGGAAACACATGGCGCTCTCCTGGGACACCCATTCTTCTTCGCTGTAAATGTGATTTTGAAAGGCAATGATAACCTCTCGGTTGGTTTAGTAAAGAAGGACACGGAAAAGCTAGGGGAAGAGTACAGGGAAGCTAATAATAAAGCGGAGACATGTCGTGAGAGTAGTAGTTGCATTCAAGATGGACCCTTCTGTAGTCCACAATAACCTTGGTATGAATGTCTGGTCAGAATATATGAAGATCCACAAGGAAAGTTGTAGCTTGATGGTTGCTGGGAAAAGGTGTATGGTAGCTTTCAACAAAAACAGCGAAACGAGCATAATCATGCTTCGCATGAAAAGTTTCCTAGGCTGCCTATTCATAGTTACCTTCATTATATGAATTGGAAATCGGCCGGTTAGTGTGTAGTTAGTTTTTCGATCGATTGATTGGTTGATTGTATCCTATTTACTCGATTTAAGTCATGATATTCACAGCTATGCCCACATGATAGACATTGTAGACAGTCGACGCGACGCGGGCATGAGTCTGCACCGCCCCACTTCACTCTCGAAAGAGCCATTTATCCCTATGGGTCTGCCGTTGTCTGGCTTCCATCTAGTGACGATTATGTACGTTTCGTCTCTAGAAATGACGTCTTGTGCGTATGTTCATGTTCCGTGAACTGTATTTGCATATGTATGCCATAACCACTCGATGCCTCGTGTGTGCAGCGCAATTCAAGACTCGTAGAGGCATGGATGCCTCATGCCTTGTGTCCGTAATACTTTCAGCAAAGACCGTTGCGGCCACTGGCGGGTGGACTTCCGGTTTTTTGTGACGGTAATTCCAAAAAGTGATTTCTTGTTGTCTGCCGTGTTTTTGCTCTTAGTTATCCCTGTTATACTTATCTAGTAAGCTTCAACAGTCAAGTGACTAGCACGTAACTATCGATTTTAAGCTTACCTCCTTCCAGCTAGCTCAGCAATCAAGACTGTCAGCACTGCTGATTGGTGTGTCAAATACAAAGGTACCAGACCATGGGGCGATCACGCACGATTCAATCAATAGATCAGCCCTTACAGCTGCTGAGCAGGCCTGGACGATTGTATTAAAAACCTAGATGTCTACGGAGGCGATTGATACGTTGCGACAGATAGAGCTAACGTACATCCCTTCGTAACGGAACAACCGCCGTAATGGACAAAATCACAGGTACTTTGACTTTACAGCAACATCATAGCCTGCAATCATCGTGAAAACCATGTTGGCCTACCCAGGTATGTACTA